ACCCCGCCAGCAGATCTCAGCTGGGAAGGAAGTAGTTGGATCATAAGCACCAATCCCAAAAGCAGAAAGAAAACTGATTGGCCGGACCAATGACAGGCGGGTCACGTCTGTATTTTAGAAGGAAAGTTCCTTAGCTCAAATGAAGCTCTACAGGGACCCGTGGAGGGGTCAGGGTGGGCTGCAGTCTCACCGGGGTGTTGCCTCTCACATCCCTCCCTCCAGCTAACAAAGTTGGCCCCTCCTCCCCCAGGCAGCCAGGGCCTGCTCTGTCCCCTGGTCAGACGCCCGCTGTCCCGACATTGCAGCTGGGCGTCTTGCAAATTGTAGGACAAGGTTGAATCAGATAAGGCAGAGCCCAGGGTTTTCTGTTTCAAAGCACTTCTTGTCGTAGGCAAAACCCTTCGAGGGCCCATCCCCATTACTATGAAACAACCGTCTGTCTGTAGCATTTCCAAGGGACCGATCACCGTTTAAGTTGAAAACACACATTCTAGGCTTGTTGCTGCTGCGCCACAGGCTTCTCCCTGGAGGCCGAGGAATGAGGGCCTGTGGGCCAGGGCCAATCAGAGGCCCAGCGTTCATTTAGTCTCCAGACCCTCTGCTTCCTTGCCTCGAAACGGGGGTAATCACATCGAGTGCTTGGGGGTGTTTTATTAAACCTTGACTCACCTTGAGCATCTGGTGAGGGTAACAAACAGCTTTTGTGTTCGGGAGTCCTCTATTTAAAAAGACCCTAGAATTACTCCCTTTGGGATATTGCTGCCCCAGGGTGCCAAATACACTCCCCTAATATAGAGAAAGGAATGGATTTTGTTACTAAAATAAACTTGGCTTGGGCCCCCGGGGAAGAGAAGATGGAACGTTTATTGACCCCACATATGTGACAGGCATTTTCCAAAGTGCTCGACAGGCGACATCTCACTGAATTCTCATCATCTGGTAAGTAGGTGCATGATATTTACTCCCGGCTTATAGGTTAGGAAACCACGGTTGACGTGGCCAAGGCACCGGGTGAGAGGTGCCTCTGGAAGCTGTCGCCAAGTGTGTGTGAGTTCCA